GCTAAAGACTTCATCGAAGTCAATTCCTGGTTTTTGAAGAAAACCTTTCGCCACCAAGCGTGCTTTGTACCTTGAAATCGAGCCATCAACATTTTTGCTTTATTCGAAAAATCCATTTACAGTTTACTGCCTTCCTATCTCTAGGAAGAGGAACTAGAGTCCACGTGTCGTTCCTTACCAGGGCATCAAACTCGGCTTGCACAACTTCTTTCCAATGAGGACACATCAAGGCCTGTGTTATATTTGCTGGTTCTCGATATGAACTTGCAACGTTATAAACTTTCGGTTTCCAGATTCCATGCTTACTCCTGGTCATCATGGGGTGTACATTGGAGTCTGCTTGTGGTACACCACTCTCCACATTTTGTGGAAGTTCAAAACACGTCTCTTCTGTACCATTTTCTTCTTGGACCCCATATGAACTGCCATCACAGTTACTACCGTCGTGATTCTCTTCTTGGACCCCATGTGCACGATAACTACTCCCACAATTGCCATCATCGTGACTTTCTTCTTGGATTCCATGCGAGTAGCCATTAAAATTACTCATATTATCAATGTTTGCCGCACCTTGGTCCCCATGTGCACCACGCATATCACCACTTTCAATATTTAAATTTGCATTATTTTATTCTTGGACCGCACTTTGCTCCCCATATGGACCACGCATATCACCACTTTAAATATTTAAATTTGCATTATTTTCTTCTTGGACCGCACTTTCCTCCCCATATGCACCACGCATATCACCACTTTCAATATTTAAATTTGCATTATTTTCTTCTTGGACCGCACCTTGCTCCCCATGTACACAACGCATATCATTATTTAATTCTTCAACATGTGAGCCACCATCACTTTCATTATTTGAGTTTGCATTATTTCCTTCTTGGACCCATGCGCATCATTATTTAATTCCTCAACGCATGCGTTTGTTGAGGTCTCAACACGAGTGAGCACCACGCCAAGAGCACTATCGGTTCAAATAAAATTCGGTGTGTCCCCAAGAGCATTACCACGTGCATCCACAATTCCAAAAGGCATGGCCCCAACAATATTTTGACTTGGATTATACGCACCTACCCCAATATTATTATGATTGGAAAGCGGTGTGGCTCCAAGCTTATTATAAACTACAGGCAACTAAACAGTCGTGATAACTTCTTGTCTATGACACTTGCAAACAAGTTGATTCTTATCAAAGGGAAATACTTGTTCATCAAACCTCACATGACGAGAGACAAAAATTCTACCATCACTGTCTAAACATTTTTACTCATGATGTGAGGTGTTGGGCCCAAGAAACACATATTGTCTTGACCGAAAATCCAATTTATGTTGATTAAACGGCCTCAAGAAATGGAAACAAGCACACCCAAAAACTCTCATACCCGAGTAGTAAGGAGCTTTCTGATAAAGAACTTCAAACGGGGTATTGCCTGAAATGGTCTCAGATGGTAGTCTATTTATGATGTATACTTCCATAGTGAAAGCATGACTCCAGAACTTTGTTGGCAGTGATGCTTGAGCTAACATGGCTAGTCCCATCTCAACAATGTGGCGATGTTTACGCTCAGTCTTCCCATTTTGCTATGACGTGTTGGGACAGGAGATTCAATGTTGTACACAATTGGTAAAAAACCAACTCTTCAGAGCTTGATATTCACCTCCACCATCACTTTGCAACACTTGGATTTTTTCCCAAACTGAACCTTGGCTATTTTAACAAGGTTGAGAAAGCATTGGCTGACTTCAGACTTCTTTCTAATTAGATACACTCAGGTATGTCTGCTAAACACGTCAATAAATGATACATAATATACGTAACCTTCAGTCGAAACTACAGGTGCAGGTCCCCACACATCTGACACAACCAGCTGAAAAATTTCTTTGTATTCAGTCAAAGAATTAAAAAAAAGGCAGCTTGTGAGCCTTGCCTTGTAAACATGCAGAACAAACATTGTTCAATTCGTTTTCACTAGAAGAAACACTACACATTTTCATAACATCTTTGACAGTCTTCACACACGAGTGTCCTAAACACCTGTGCCAAAGTTTCAGACTGCTTGAAGCCTTGGACACATTGTTCACTATGCAACTTGATTCATTCTCTTCATTCGATAGCAGCTGGTATAGTCCTTCACGTGTGAGCTTTCCTCTCAACAGAATGGTTCGAGTCTGTGCATCCTTCACCAAGCATTCAAAAGGATGAAACTCAATAAACACATTATTATCTCGAGTGAATTGAGACACTGACAGTAATTTATTCTTAATGTATGGGGAATGTAGCATATTTTGTAACACCAGAGGTCTGAGACTAGAAGACAGAAAGCCTTGACCAACATGATCAATTTTAATTCCTTCGCCATTTCTCATTAGAAGGGTGTTGTTACCTTTGTATGCCATACTTGAATTGAATGGTACAAGATCATTTGATACGTGATGAGTGACACCCGTGTCTGGATACCACAAAGTATTGGAGTGTTTTGGAACACTATGAACTACTGCCATACTAGGCACAGTGGATACAAAAGTTATAGGTGCAGTATGAACAAATGACTCTTATCTTTCTGTTGTTGTAGTATGAGCTACACAATCCCCAAGAAAGGTATTCATTACCTGACTCGAGGAGTAAGACAGTCCTTGATGAGTCAAAGCATAAGGCATACCATACATAGAGTTGGATGGATAGTGGTAGAAAACGGGAGATTACAACGTGTGATTATACACATTTCCATTCACAGGAACTACCTATTCAACTGGTTTCTTCCACTGCTCAACAGATTGATCTTCATTGACAACTGGCACTGTGGTCGATTTGAATTGTTAAACCTTCCTCTGCCTCGACCACGGTAGCCTCCCTGATGACCTCTCACGGAATAAAACTACTTTTTTGTTGCATATGTTTCAGTGACAGCTCGAGACTCTTCTTTTGGCTGGATAACCATATTTGCAGCAATACTATCGCTTAAAAAAGCTTTCTGCCTAGCCTCACAATCCAGGAGCATTTCAGTGAGACTATCTAGGGACATTACATCACGAGATGCTATAGTAATAATGGACTTGAATTTTATTGACAACCAGCAAGAATCAAACTTACTTGTTCTTGTTCAGGTACAACACAACCTGCCGCATTCAACAAGTCACAGATTGTCTTGATCTTGCCTAGATAATCACTCATAGTCAAGCCAGTTTTCCTATGAGAGTGCAAACTGTGTCTAAGAGAAGAAATCTTGGCACTAGAACGAACTCCAAACAATCTTGATACTGCATTCCAAATTATACGAGATGATGTGAGCCCTGTGAGATATGGCAAAACCTCTATGCTAACCGTTATCAACAACCTCAAAGCGAGCAACTTGTCTTGCTGCCTATGCACATCATACACTGGATTTTCCTCAAGCTGTCATGACTCATTTGTAACAAACTGAGATGGAGCAGGACTATCACTAGAGATGTAAGCCAATAATCCATAACCATCAATTATAAGGGTCACATGATGCTTCCAAAGAAGGTATGTTGACTCGGTAAGCTTTATGAAATCCTGTTTATGTATATGTTGTACACTAGGCAGGACCGAAGAGCCACAGGACGATGAATTGACTGTGGTATCCACCGGAGACTGAACACCATCTTGTTGCAAGTCCACCATCTTTAAAGAAAGGCAAGAACCTCCAAGAAAAGAAGCAAGCCAGAAACTGCAGGACCGTTTTGGCGACTGATACCATGTAAAGATTAGTAAATGATATCTAAACTATGAGAGCAAGAACGAGAAACAAAACTAAAGAGAGAAATCATTCTGAACTTTATTATCTTCAAGGGGTGAGTTTTACAAGTCTTAAGGAGTGTATTTATAGTGAGTATTATAGCTGTAACAAATGATGTAACTAACTTCAACAAACTAACTGCTTCAACTGATTAGCTACAATGTATCAGCTGTTAAGCAACTTTATTTACACTAACAAGGAAATCCCACAGCAGCCGTTGGATAAATAGCAATCGATCAAAATAACCAATTATCGAAAAACATTGGGAACAAAAGCGAAATGCACTCGAACTCATCAATATATCATTAAAATTATCTAAATTCTATCTAAAATTGACTTTATATTACTGTAAAAAGAAAACGTTACACTTTTACATAAAAGCCTTGAAATGAAAAAAACACACTATCTAACATAATAAACTGAGAAACTAAGATTTTTGTTGTTGAAAGGATAGGAATATGTATATCGAAGTAAGGTGGTGGGCGAGCGGAGCTGTTTCGCAGAGGCTCTAGCAATTGTTGCGCAGAGGCTCTAGTAACCGTTTGCGCTACCTCACACCGTCACTTTCGCAAATAGGGATGGACATGGGACCTGAACCCGACCCGACCCGACCCGACCCGATCGTGTTTGATTTTTTTAAATTTCGGGTTCAGGTCGGGTCGGATTCGGGTTTAAGATAAACGACCCGACTCGATAAGAAAAAATATAATTTTACCTTATATATTTAGGAATAATTACAATAATATCTCTCTCTATATATTTTTCAATTAAATCATTGTTTATATTAAATAAAAATATTTTTTATTATTTCAGGTTACGTCATATCAGATTCAAATTTTATCTCAAAAATCAAGTCGAATCAGGTTCAGATTGGGGGGAACGTATATATTTTTCGGGCCTGATCAGATCGGGTGAATGATGTAATATTTTCGGGTCGGGTCGTTATGGCCGAAACCCAACCCATGACCATCCAATTGAATCCAATCCAATTGAAGCTCCTTTGTTGAAATGTCAAAATCGTAGTAATATGATGGCCGTTTTATTTTAAAATGTTGAAATAAGATGTGGCAGTGTCAATTGCTGTTTAATTTTTTGTTGCTTAGGAGACATTTTATATCCTGTTTACTCTATTCTCTTCTTATGTTACAGTTATTGTGCGATACTTTGTTAGACCGCTCAAATTCAGCAGTCATGACCAGATATGTAAGCTCAAGGGATAATTTAAGGATTCTTATGAATCTTCTAAGGGTATGATACTTCCCCAGATTTCTTGATTTCATTTTTTATTATCCAAATGTTATTTTTCTGATGTTTGATGTCATGGTTTATTTTATTCCAACAATACTCAACATGAAGCTTTATGCTCCATTGATTATAGTCACGAATGGTAGACCTAAGTCTGCAAATATTGTTATTCATTTAGTTTATGGGTTTATGGTTGAAGTGTGGTACTGGCCTATTGCTATTACCAGAACAGTAGCTGCAACCGCTGAGATTTTCCTTGTTCAAGTATTAAAACACAGCTATAAAATTCAAACACTAAATATTGAATTCCTTTTCCGCAGGAATCAAGCAAGAGCATCCAATTATAAGCTTTTCATGTTTTGAAGGTGTTGTGTTAAATTTCCTTTCCGCTTGGATCACTTAGATAGTAATTTGAAACATGAAATGGCTGCAAATCGGAACAAGCCTCCAGATATTGCTAGCTTACTGGTTGCAAATAAAAGCAAGCTTTTACGTTTGTTTGCTGATTTCAAGCCTGATAAAGGTACAATATGGTAACAAAACAAAAAAATCCATGTAAATTTATAGGCTTGGCACTTTATTTATCTTTTCCAGATGGATGTCTTGCAGCGGACGAACAGTTTCAGGCATACAAGGCTCAAGTTGTGAAGGAAATCGCTGCCCTTGAGCTTTAACGCCGGCCCGGGCATAGTGAGCTCTAATACATTGTATTCGTGTTAGTTTTAGTTTTAATGTTACTAAAAAACTACTTGACTGTGATTCACATAGCGTTGTGGTTGTCCTTTTAAAAGGACTTGTGTGCAATATCATTATCTGTAATTTTCGATGGTCTGGAATTGGATGGATGGATGTGTAGATTAGGCAGTAACGAGAAAGTTGTAGGAAGTTTCGCGAGAAGTACCGTTTCCTTCACCTTTACAAAGTACAAATCCGATTTCTATTCACTGGTATTGCTGGAGTTGGTTGGGGGGCAGAGTAATAATATTTTCATGGATTTGGGCTTTTTCAGGATCACAAATCATGTGATCTCGATACGTTAAACGTTTGTGGTCATCATCAAATTCAAGCGAGAAGCTTTTGGCATATTCCATGTATATTCTTATGACAAGGACATGACTCGACTCGGCTAGACTAGAATAACCTTCCAACTTTTGAAGTTTCTACATCAGATCAGATGCTTCTCTACTTGCTTTCGGCAGTGTTAACAACATCAACGTATGTTTTAGGCATATTCGTCGAGCAACGTGAGGGGGATGAGAATCCCTTTTGAGTCCTAATCAAGGACTATTGTAAGATCCAATTTTTCATTAATATCCCTAACCGGTAATTGAATTAATATATGCCTTAATTATTATGTGAATGAATTTGGTTTACTTTTACTAATATCATGTAATAATGAGAGAGAGAAAAAAACACCACCCACCATCAAACATGATGCAAAAATGATCATGCGAACTTGATTTATATTTTGGATTTAAATATTGTTGATCGAAATATTTTAATTATTTTTTGTAATGAATTCAAAGTTAATGCCAATATTAATATCCATACATTTATTTTTGGATTTGAATTCACTTTACTTTTATAAATATTTAAGATATTTTATTTTAAGCTTTTAACTTGGTAAATAAATTTTAATAAATTTATACGTCCTTTTAATATAATTTAGGTTCAAACTGAGATGAAAAATACTCAGATTTTCCAACCACAAAGAACAAATTTTAAAGCAAATTTACGCCTTCAAATTAAAATTCAGATATAAAAAATGTAAATATCTGATGTGCTACTATTGCTACATTTCAAGTACAAATTAGGAAGGAATGTTTAGAGGATGATATTTGTTTAAAACATGGATGACATAATAAACCTAAAGCGTAAAGGAAATTAGGGAGAAGAGAATTCCAAGGAAATCCAGGGGCATTTTGTTTCTCTGGTAAACTCATTGTTCTATATAAACACAAAACGCATGGTCGCCTTTTGCCTGTCGCTTGTTACGTGAAAAGCTCTCCAAAAACTATCCATCAATTTTCCCAACACTTTTCTCTAGCCGATGGCTGACAATGGTAGGACCCCCATTAATCTTTTTCTCCCTTTTCTTCACTTTATTGAGCATTATTATTCTTCTATTGATTTCCTTGGTTCATTTTTTTTCCTGTGGGATTTTGATTTCTTGTTTTAGTTATTTGTTTCTGTAAATTCTCTGGATTTCAGGTTCTGTTGAAGAGTTCTTGGCCACTGCAGTCGATGCAGCTAAGAAAGCTGGAGAGGTTCATTCAAGATTTCATTTCTTTCTCTCATTATCTTCTTTCTTTTATTTCCTTTTCTTGTCTTGCAGTTTACTTCATTGATACGTTTAATTTAATTCTCTGACTTTTTTGTTGGTCTTTGATGTTTTTGTAGATAATCCGTAAAGGGTTTTACCAGACCAAGCATGTGGAGCATAAAGGCCAGGTCTTTCTTTAATTTCTACCTCAAACTTTGAGTAAACCATATCTATAATTTCACTTTGTACCGCCCCCCCCAAAAAAAAAATCTTGTTAGTTGCCATGATATCCATCCATGATGAAATTGGAAAGTGTGTTATAGTGGTTATTGCTGATAGATTACTGGGGTTCAATACATGCTTTCATTGGTTGGTACCGGAGTTTTAGTATCTATTCTCCCTACAGGTTGTTTTTAAGTGCATTTCAAACCGGTTCTTGTTGTGTTGATTTGTTAAATACTAAAATCTTCTTTTCTTTCCGAAAGTAGACACCGCCACTTTCCTATTTGGTATTGGAAATGATTACTTAAAGTTCTCTCTTTTATCTAAATTCAGGTGGATTTGGTCACAGAGACGGATAAAGCATGTGAAGATCTTGTGTTTAATCATCTTAAGCAACATTACCCCTCTCACAAGGTTTGCACGTTTTATAATTCTATACCATTTATCTATCAAGAGTAAAAGTTAACTTGAGCTTAAGAAAAAATATAATTTTCTCATCAGTGATTCATCTTTTCTTATTCCTATAGTTTGATATTTATTGTAGTTTATTGGGGAAGAAACTACCGCTGCCAATGGTGCATCAGAGCTTACCGATGAACCTACCTGGATAGTTGATCCCCTTGATGGAACAACAAACTTTGTGCATGGGTAATACCTCTTCCGTGAATCGTTTCTTAATTCATTTGTAAAGTCATTTTCATGTTTCTATTGTTGCAATCCTACAGGTTTCCCTTTGTCTGTGTCTCCATTGGTCTTACCATTGGAAAGGTTCCTACAGTTGGTGTTGTTTACAATCCGATAATGGATGAGGTGAAATTTTCTCTTTCAAGTCATTGAATAGAGTTGTCTTTTATCAAGCGCTCTATAAATATTACCGGCTTTATGACATGCAGCTCTTTACTGGTATACTTGGGAAAGGTGCTTTTCTCAATGGATCCCCTATTAGAGGTGAATCCAGTGATCTTGATGTATGGTCCTCAAATTTCATTTTGAGTGAATCTCTAAAAGCTGGTATCTTTTTCTCTGAAATTTTGCAGTGTCATCTCAGACTGAACTTGTAAAGTCTCTCCTTGCAACAGAGGTATTAATGTTCTTTTTTGTCGAAATTTCAAAGTTTTCTTTCTTCTTTTCCTCCTTTGTTGGGTGAAACTGAACCTGAAATTTCTGCCTCCAACTTCCAATCCCATTATTGAATAGCGTTAGGCTAATTGATATGACAAAGCTGTTGCTCTTCTTAAGCATGTATAGTTTAATCAAATTCTGTCCTATTGAGCAGGCTGGAACAAAACGAGATAAGTCCACTTTGGACGCTAGTACAAATAGAATCAATATCTTGCTTTTCAAGGTAAAAGCGAAACTGTGCCTGCATTTCGTTCTTTTGTTACTATCTGTGGAAATCCATAATTGCTTCCTCTTATTGACAGGTGAGATCACTTCGAATGACTGGTTCATGTGCATTGAATCTTTGTGGAATTGCATGTGGAAGACTCGACCTGTTTTACGAACTTGGATATGGGGGTCCATGGTATGCTTTTAACCATTTCGGTATTTTACGAGGTTAAAGTTTTCGGTACATGACTGACGGTGTGCCTCTATGATTAGGGATGTGGCTGCTGGTGTTTTAATTGTTAAAGAAGCTGGAGGCCTCGTGTATGATCCGTAAGTAGCTAACATGGTTGACGTGCACTTTCTATCTTATTCTGAATCTAAATGATGGTTGTGTTGTTGTGCAACAGGTTTGGTAAAGATTTTGACATCACAGTTCCACAGGTCGCCGCTTCGAATCCATCGCTGAAAGATGCATTTCTTGAGGCTTTGCAGCATTGATAAATCCTCAAAGGCCTGAAATTGCCTCTACTATCTGATATGATATATTAGCTTGTTTTGTTCTTTTTGTGGGATTTTGTTTACAACATGAATGATTCTTCGAATAGGCTGATGGCTCTGAACGCCGAACCCAATTTATATCATGGAAATGTGTATGTATCTTTCTACAAGCCCAATTCAATGAAACCATTTGGACCACCTTGAGCCTGATGTAAATACCTCATGCACTGGTGCGCTTCTCGCAGCACTTTGATCCATTGGCACATCCAAAGGGTAAATGTCCATGAAGAAGTGGCCCTTGATTTTCCCAAAAGCATGGCCCATGTTTTATAACAATACTCAGAGATGACCGAGGAGGAAATAGGGATATCCCTATTAATTACATTTAGAAATAGAAGAAAATAAACTATTAATTTAAAATTTTCAAAAAGAATGACTACCTTCACTCACCCTTGGTCCATCTGTGCGAAGATTTATTAATTATTATATTAACAGTTTTTGGTCACCCTTTCCTGCTTACTGCCTGCACCGATCCCGACCATTATGGATTTCCTCCCGCTTTGTCTTTTTTCAATACCAAGCTTAATCCAAAACCGACCATAAAACTCAGATATAAATGATCTGTTGGCTTATCACGTACTCGCATGCAGATATTGCAATAAACTAATCTAATCTATGGATTTAAAGGGAAATAATCAAATGAATCCACCATATGGTATTTACCTTTGTTTCCTCTATGCTCTGCGTTTTATTATAATTTAATACTTAACTCTTATCTTAATCTATAGTTGATGTTAGAAGGGAAATTATCCGAAACAACTACCCCATTCATTTTCTTTAATTAATTAAGCGGTAAAAAACGCGTTATCATGCATCACACACATTGACATTAGTTTATTTGAACCAAAACCATCGACCTTGCTTGCTTATTACTATTGCTAATGTTACTATTGCAGTTTCCAAATGCTTGCAAAGCTGCTAAACAATTAATTAATAACTATGCACACACACCATGCGTAATGTAGGGACAAACATCATCTTTTCAATCTCTCTCAATATATTAATGAAAGTGGTTAGGGTGCTAAACAGCTCAGAATGTCGCATAATTACTTTACTTACTGCACTTTATTTATTTATATACAAAGACGGTACTATATTTACTAATATATTATATTGGAACATGAAAGAGTATGCTTTAAGATATTAATTTATAAAATGGCAACTTTTCTTAAGCTTTGGCAACGGTTACCAGATGCCTGATCCTAAACCATTGTTTGTAAAGCGAGATTATGCATGCTTTAAGATTATAATTTAAAAGTTCTTTATTTTTTAAATTAAAAAATTCGTCTTTTGAGTCTAATCTTTGATACATTAATAAAAGATCATAATCTTAATTTACTTGAGAGTGAACTTTGAAGCTGTGATTTAACTTCGTTTTAGAAAACTAAATTATCGATAAGGTTGACTTAATTTGATGGAGGAGTCAAACTTTGTGGTTAATAGATGTGAAGTTGTACCAACCGGTTGCCGCCACTCCGGTCAGCGGTTAGGTAAGCCCATTGGGCATTTGGGTTGAATCTTGAAATAATAAATTAAATCTGCTGCCGTCCAGGGTTGAGAAAAAGGGCATTGAAATTTGGAATCGATTTAACCACATGGGCTTAAGGGCATTACTCAAGCCTCACGCCTCTGGCCACCGTCACACCTGATCTGACAAACCATCTTGTTTTTTTTTTCATTTTTACTGGCCCCACAGCAAAGAACCTGACAAAACCAGAGCTCGCCACGTTTTACTTTATCTGGCTGTGCAGTTTTACTTTTCACCTTTTCACCAGCAAATCCTGGCCAGATATGTTAGTAACCAGAAAAAGCAAATCCGCTCCGTTCAGCCTCGGTCCATAAATAGATAAAATCGACCCTCTTTATTCCTCCATCGATTTTCACCACTTATTTCTATATTTCCTTTGTGAACAAATGGTGTCTGTTGAAGATTCCAGTTCAAGCATTGCTCGAAACTGTTGCAACCCAGTTTCGGCTTCGGTCACCACACTCGATCGACACACCACTGACCGTTCCATGCGGACGATACGCTCCAATTTCTACCAAAATGACAACAGTGGATGCTGCTTGACTGAAAGGTACGGGTTTGTCCCCGAAAACCTCGCCGAATCCGTAGTCGACCTGCGCCTCGGCCAACTGGCTTCCAAAACCAACTCCAAATCTGTTAAGTCCGACTCAGAAAACGAGGGCTTTTTGGACATTTCTCAAGCTTTCAGCGATTTCTCCTCTTGCAGCAGCGATATCTCCGGCGAGTTGCAGCGGCTGGCCACCCTGCCTTCACCCGGAACCACCTTGGGGAATGAAAGTACCAATGGAGCTGAGTGTGAGCCGGAGCCGGAGCCGTGCCATGGATTTCTGCTGAGAGAGAATTTCTCGACGGAAATTATCGAGAGTATTTCACCAGAAGATCTTCAACCGACAATCAAGATCTGCGTCGATGGCCTCCAGTCACCGTCCATTGCTGTGAAGCGATCAGCTGCGGCGAAGCTCAGACTGCTAGCCAAGAATCGCGTGGATAACCGTGAGTTAATCGGAGAATCCGGAGCGATTCCTGCTCTAGTCCCGCTCCTTCGGAACAGCGATCCTTGGACTCAAGAGCACGCGGTGACTGCATTACTAAATTTGTCGCTTTTCGAAGCTAACAAAGCCCGAATTATAAACGCCGGAGCTATAAAATCGTTAGTGTATGTTCTCAAGACAGGAACCGAAACCTCCAAGCAAAACGCGGCGTGCGCACTTATGAGCATAGCTTTGATCGACGAAAACAAGACTTCAATCGGAGCATGCGGGGCGATACCACCTCTAGTATCCCTTCTTATCAACGGATCCAACAGAGGCAAGAAAGATGCACTAACAACCCTCTATAAGCTGTGTTCGGCAAGGCAGAACAAAGAAAGGGCAGTTAGTGCAGGTGCAGTCAGGCCTTTGGTGGGAATGGTAGCAGAGCAAGGGACCGGAATGGAGGAGAAGGCGATGGTTGTTCTTAGTAGCTTGGCAGGAATTGAGGAAGGCAGGGAAGCTATTGTTGAAGATGGTGGGATTGCGGCACTTGTGGAGGCAATTGAGGATGGTTCTACCAAAGGGAAGGAGTTCGCGGTGCTGACACTGTTGCAGTTGTGTTCTGACAGCATTAGGAATCGGGGGTTGCTTGTTAGGGAAGGTGGGATCCCTCCTCTTGTGGCTCTTTCTCAGACCGGGAGCTCAAAGGCTAAGCATAAGGTAATTCTAGTTCATGTTGGTTGACTTGTGTTTGAATGAAGATAACTTATTCCTTTGATTGATTACTTGAGGATAAAGTTGAAAGAAGATAATGTAATACATGTCCCTGGAAATCACGATGCTGCTTATAGTTTGATCGAAATACTATGTCGATTAAACATTGTTCTGGTATTAAGTAATTTGCATTTGAATGATCAAAATCGAGCATTGCTGCGTTGTTATCTACACCATCATATGCAACATGTATCTCATGTAGAATGCTTTAGTTTTGCATTGATTCTATCTATGCATTTATAAGTCGAACGTTATTTAATGTTTGCTTCATATCAACAATCGATTTATTTGTTGAATGTTAATTTTGCAGGCTGAAACTCTTCTTCGGTATCTGAGAGGATCCAGACAAGAGCCTTTGTGCTCCAGTCCTTAGAGAAGAGAAGTTTAATTAGTAATAACTATACCAAGGTTATTTATTTATTTACTGTATAGGAAGTGTATGAATGGTTTGTACAGTGTGGTACTGATTGAGTTGTACAAGTACAAAAGACAAATTGTGGGAGGTTAGTTTGCAAGGGACTGACATTGAGTTGTATGATTTTTACTAGATTTTGTTTTTTTTGGGGAGGGGGGTTCCCCTCTTATTATTGACGTGTTCTCAGGATTGTCTTGTGGATTTAGGGCTGATAAGATTTGGATTATTTTCCTATGTTTTGTCTAAGTAACCGAAATTCCGTTGCATAGATTGATTGTATGATTTCTGCGTAGTGAATATGGAGATTAGGTTAATTTGATGTGATCTGCAACTGTACGCTTTTGTATTTAAACATCGCATCTTGTAGCTTGAGCCTTCTGCAGTTGCGCAAGGCACATAACATTAACTTTTTGTACCTGTACTTTTTGATCATATCTAGCAGTGGTAGATACAGAAATGAAGTGGTGGTTGAAAATAGTTTCCTCAATATTGCTTTTCTGGATATATGTTCGTAGCATGTTTATGCCTATTAGTTATCTGTTTTTCCAATTTGCCTAGAAGAATTATGCCCTTTTATCGAGGGTTGCATATTGTGGAATCGTAGGGCCCTTGATCTGCTCCTATTCGGTGTAAAGTAGGTAATCTGCTGTGTGTTACCTTCACCATCGATCTGTCCTATTTGCAAACATCTACCAATTCCTGCCAACTGGTTCAACCCCACTATACTTATATGAGAAAATAACTTCAGTGACCAAAAATACCTTATAATATACGATTTTAATCAACTTTTTTTAGATTTGTCAAAATGACCAACTAAATCGCAATGCGATCGATAATTCGCAACGCGTTCTCCGGTATCGCAAATTAGTTTCCAAATTCGTAACGCGATTCTGACTATCGCATTGCGATTTCTCAAATTCGCGTTGCGATTTTCCTAATTCGCAATGCGAATACGTAAATCGCAATGCGAATTTCGAAAATCGTAATGCGAATACGTAAATCGCAATGCGAATACGTAAATCGTAATGCGGTTTACATAGCGCCATTCTTATTAATGTGTATTTTTTTTCAAATTCCAAACACGAATATATTAATATATCGGAGCACTGAACCGTCCACAGTATATCCCGTAATCACAACTCATAACCTAAAACCCTAAATCACAACTCAGTCTCATCTCCATCTCTCACTCTCTAAGGCGACATCCGTCCCCATCTCCGACGAAATCAGTCCCCACGACGATATCAGTCTCCATCTCCGGCGAAATCATTCACGGTCAGAAATGAAAAATCAACCAAATCAACCACCGATGGTTAGTTTTTTTAATTATTTTTATTTTGAAATTTTTGCATTATTATTTGGTTTTTCATATTGAAATTGATGATAAGTTTACTGGTGTTTTCAATAATAGATTAACCATTTCACTTAGATTGCTTATTATATTCATTCTATTGCTGCCAATACTGTTAAACTGTTTAGTCTTTAACCCTGTGAAGTTAGTATTTGTCTTTGTTTTGTCTTTTGGTTGAAGTAATGCAATCCATTCAAGTTTCTTTCAATTTTAGTATTTGAAACCGAGAATGACTATCGCAATGCGATTCTGTCGTTGCGATTTTCATTTCGCGTTGCGATTTTCATTTCGCGTTGCGATTCTTGCGTTGCGATAGTCAAATTCGCGTTGCGATAGTCATTTTCGTGTTGCGATTTTCATTTTCGTGTTGCGATTTAAAGTTTCAGAAACTATTCTTCTTCTGCAAATTGAAACTTGAATGAATTGCATTACTTCAACCAAAAAACAAAAACAAATACTAAATTCACAGTGTTGCAAATTTAAGTTTGAAGAATAAACTACTACTCTTTATGTTTATTGTTCTTGTTATATCTTCATAGTGTAGTTTTTGGTATATCTAAATTGGTATGTTTATTGTTTTTGCAGAACTTTTATTCGGCTCAATTGACCTTAAGAAATAAAGTAAGCCTGGCCAAAACAATTGCGTCGAAGCTTTCACCTGCACAAAGAAAAATATTTGAGGATACTTGCTTCGGGCCATGGCTGAAGGTACAACATCCGGGTGGAGATGCTATGTTGACCCATATGTTTCTTCAAACCATGACTAGCGATCTACCAGAGACTATACAACGTCGTGATGAAGAGATATGGTTTGATTTTCCACCGGCGTATACGTGTTTTGAGCGGGAGGAGTTTTGCTTAATCACCGGTCTACGCTTTGGATACGATGATGTAGATCGGTACACTAGACATATCACCCGCCTATCATAGTTTTCCCGGGTTTTTCCTAAGCTGTATGTTGAGTTAATCGAATGACGAAATTGGCCAAGAGGGTCGGTTCCTCCTATGGGGGGGGAATCGGTTCCCTCTGAGTATTCTGGAATTTTTGGCTTTGAATTGGTTCGAAATACTTTGTAAAATATTTTGAAATTGTTTTATGATTAAAACTTAATTTTACACTTAAGTAAGGATCAAAAATGATTTTTGAAATATTTGGAGTAATGTTTTGATATTCGAATAGTTATATCGAATATACTTAGAAAATCATTTTGGAAAATCTTAAAATCCATTTAACTTAATTTGTTATATCGAAATATTAAAATGTTTTAACACTGTCAACAGAGAAGCCGAATTTACACGTGGGAGATTTGACGAGATTATTGAATAAGAAAGATGGTTTTACTCGGATGGATGACGTCGATGTTGTCCGAGTATGCCTTCTAATACTTTTGCAAGCCGACTTTTTAGGCAGAGAGGCCCGACAACCTATTCCTAATGATCTAATTAAATTGGTAGAGGACCTAAATGCATGGAACCTGTTTCCGTGGGGTTCGTATCTATGGAGAGCTACATGGAATAAGTTGTCGTCTGCCTTTGATGATCGAAAAAGTTTGCGTGGCGATGGTTCCAAATACACTTTGTCATGCTTTATTTGGGCCTTTAAGGTAATAATTTTTATATAATGCTTCCAAAATTATAATTAATTCTTTAACAATTACTAATGTTTGTTATTATATTATTTGTAGATTTGGATATTTGAGGCCTTTCCAGCCATGCAGACATATGCATTAAAAACTTCTAATGATATTCCTAGGGCTATTTCCTGTAAGAGGAAACGGTCCTTGTAGCAATGGGAAGATTTACTACCGTATACTACAATAAATAATGTAAGTTAACAAAAATACTACCATACGTTTATAAACAAGTTATTACTAGTACACGTTTAACTTTGTTTGAGCTTTTATATTGTTAGGAGGCCAACACTCCATTACAGAGGCTGACACCCACAGAAGCTGAGCTTGCCACTGATTGGTGGCAAGCTAGTAAGCGTTTTTTGATAGCACGGATGATGAGCAGCCACCACTTCGAGAGCCATCACCTCACCCAGAGCCATCACCTGATCGACCCAAATATACACCTCCACAACGAGAGTCATCACCTATTCTGTCACATCATCGAGCCTCTTCTCCACCATCACCTCATGATAGGCGACCGGCAAAGATGCCACGACGTTTATCTCCCTGTTCTCCACCTCCACGGGATGAGTTAGGGGAGTTACGTAATGAGGTCAATACCTTGCGTGAGGAGGTCGGTACTTTACGCGATGACAATGGTGCATGGCGTGTTGAGGTGTCTCTTTACGTGGTGAGGTAGCAGCTCTACGTGAGATTGTAGCATCGTTGCCGAGGTTCATACTCTACGCAACGAGGTAAGTTTAATATTTTTCATATTTAACTTGATGATAAATTTACTCGTAATTTCACTTAGATTGCTTAGTAAATTCATTCGATTGCTGCCAATACTGCTTAACTGTTTATTCTTTAACCCTGTGAAGTTAGTATTTGTTTTTGGTTGTCTTTTGGTTGAAGTAATGCAATCCATTCAAGTTTCAATTTGCAGAAGAAGAATAGTTTACTATCGCAATGCGAAAATGACTATCGCAACGCGAAAATGACTATCGCAACGAGAGAATCGCAATGCGAAAATGACTATCGCAATGCGAAAATGACTATCGCAACGAAAGAATCGCAATGCGAAATGAAAATCGCACTGCGATTCTCTCGTTGCGATAGTCAAATTCGCATTGCGATAGTCATTTTCGCATTGCGATAGTCATTTTCGCGTTGCAATTTTGTTGTTGCGATTTTCATTTCGCATTGCGATTCTCTCGTTGCGATAGTCATTTTCGCATTGCGATAGTCATTTTCGCGTTGCGATTTTAAGTTTCAGATTCTATTCTTCTTCTGCAAATTGAAACTTGAATGAATTGCATTACTTCAACCAAAAGACAAATACTAACTTCACAGTGTTGAAAATTTAAGTTTCAAGAATAAACTACTACTCTTTATGTTGTCATTGAACCTGCACTAAACCTATATGTTGTCCTTTTAAATGTTTATATAAGTGCTTATTTCTGGAATGTTATCTGATGCATTTTGTGAACAATGATATAATAATGACTTGGGTGAATACCGTGCAAGTTTGAAATATATTTGTCTTTGTTTTCACTGTTTAATATCATGTCTGTTTATTTACTGATTTATGTATTAATTTATTTTTAGCGGCCCGCTAAGGTGGATGCTCTACGTCGGGTTTTTCTTGCAAGACGAAGTTCACGCATCAGACGGCGTGCACGCGCCATTACGTCTCCGTTCACCCCAATAGTGCGAAGAATCCGTAAGAAAAATCCCGACTCACCTGTCATCGTTCAAGAGGCCTCCCCTATCGTTCAAGAGGCCCCTATCATCCCTCAAGAGTCCCCTCCCACCGTTCAAGAGGTCACTGTCATCGTTGAAGAGGTCCTTTCCAACATTCTAAAGCCCGATTCACACGACATAATTATCAAATTATTGAGAAGCCCCCTCACGTGCCGGACATGATGGATGACTGTTGGCTTTCGTATAAGTTACTAGCCAGTACCATTCCGGCAGATGAAGTGGAGAGAAAACAACTACCGGAAACAATTCTGGATAATACCCTTTGGGCTAAGACCGCAGTTGATTTTAATCTACATGAGCGGAGCCAAGGGTATTACACTGACATATACAAACTCAACGATTATATGCATTTGTTGATTGAACGGTCTTGGTGGGGTGTATTATTAGGGGTTGAAGACAACGGCTATTTCGATGGGGGGTAAGTCTTATATTTCTTCTTATATTTCAGTTTGATTAATTTTTTTAAAAATTTATGTAATTCACTAATATATGTCTTTTTTTGTAAAACAGCATATTGATGCATGGGTGACACGTCTTCTAATTGTAAGGAAATTGAAGAAAAATATAAAAAAAACGCGATATACAATTATGCCGACGTCTTTTCACGTAGTTCACTTG